CCTCCTAATATTATAGCCACTGTCTTCCCTGCATATTGTCCTATCCCTAATCAATCAGAAACTTCCACCATCAATGCATTATTGAAGATTTATGCATAAGAATTGAAAAAGAAATTATTTTCAAGCCATTGTTTTAGGTATTGTAATGCTTTAAGTCTTTAACTCATTATCAATCTAAAAGAAATAAAAATCGAAAACCAATTTGAAGCAAATGTTTATTTTACCCTGACGAAGAAGATGGAGAAGTGTAAGGAGTGGATCTTTTTTTTTTAACAACAATGTTATTAATATGAGTATAAGGGGTACTCAAACCCATATACAAAAAGAAAAAGTGGATCTTCTTATTGCTTATTATGCTTTTCAAAACTCTTTTCATGATTTTGTTCCCTTTTTTGGAAAATTTGGTCTATGGTTCCATATTATACAAGTAAAACTTCATTTTGGTTCTTCTACTTTAATAAAAAAATTTCTTTTTAATTCCTCTACTTAAGAAAGACTCTTTTTAGTCTTGAAAATTTATTATTTGATCCCTTTTTATTTCCTCCATTTTCTTTTTATACACATAGCACGTTAGATGATGAAAACTCAAAATATATAGACTAAAAAGGGGTTTTTTTAAGTAGAAGAGCCAAAAAGCGATTTTTTTAAGTAAATTAACTAAAAAGGAGTTTTTTAGTTCTTTTTAGTTCCTTTATTTTGAAATTTTTATTATCAAACACACCATGTGCGCAAAAAGATAATGGAGATAAAATTTAAGGGCACAAAAGGAGTTTTCTTAAGTAGAGTGACTAAAAAAAGACTTTTTGTTAAAATAAAGGGATCAAAATAGGGTTTTAACATATTATACTTGTTGCTTAGGATGCTTTGAGGTTTCTGATTTGTAATTGATTTTATGAAATTTTGAGAATCATGAATTAACATTGGTAGTTTTTAGCTTTGATATATATATATATATATGTGTGTGTATGTGGATTAGTGCTTATCCACCTTATCTTCAAAAAAATTAGGAGGGAAATTATTTTAAAATTACGGCATTTTAATAAAGCACCACAAGAAAAAATAGAAAATAGTTTAATTCATGTTTTAAAAATAGAGTGTTTTAATTTTTTCAATGAGAATTTATTGAAATAATATAATTTTGGAATGATTTTTCTCTTAATTTTTGCGAGATAAGGCAAATAGACATTGTTCATTTATATATAAATATATATGTCCTTGTTATCCTACTTTAAATTTAAGGAGCATAAATATTTCTACTTGAAATAATGTTGTGAATAGCTTAGTTTGTAGACTGGCTATGGAACTTTAAGGGTTCTATTACTTCTTTGTATTCATTTTTTTTTCTTATGGATTAATTACCCTAGCAGATAGTATTAATTCCACCTAATTTCCCCAGCATTATATTCGGTAAAGTTAAATTTTCATTATTGAGTGAATCAAGAAGCAATGAGGCATGATGGTGAACTTTTAATATAGACTTGCTGTGGTAATCAGTTTATTCTCGTTGCATTTAGCCCTTGGAAGGGCTGTACATACCTGAGTCAGAACAGTTTTCTGTGGGCATATTCTAGCGTGTTAGTAATTCAGTGCAACCTGTTAAATATTTGGACAGTGTTCTCTTTTTTCTTTCCTTACTTTTATATTCTTTAGCTTGATTAAGTTCCACATTCAACCTAGTCTTGTACTTATAGTCACTATGTATTAGGCTTTGTATATTGTCTTAATTAGTTCTACTTAGAGAAATTAACATGTTTTCTTTGAGATATTATATATCACCTCAGGTATAACTAAGTTTATATATAATTTTTGAAATTAAGTTTCACTTTGTTTACCTATTATAGAACAAGGTTAATTAGATTGAAATTTTAGTATAGATGTGTTCAGTCGATGATGATTGTCAAATACCGGAAAAAGGTACCATTAATAGTTTGTTGAGTTAATACCCATTAATTTAAAAATTATTTTTAAATCAAAGTCAAATATTTAAAATTTTACATTGTTAAGCAACTAACTTTCTCATGTAACAAAAAAAAAAAAAAAAAAAGTTAACGGTTTTACTCAAGTATGAGCTATGAAAGCACAATATTGATTACTATTTTCATTTTTAGATGTTATTATGGTTTCAACCTGTGATCTTTAATATATAGTTTTCTTCTTCTATTTTTCTAGAACACATTGTGGATGAGGTTCGCACCCTTCAAATTCAACGAATTATTCACACGGTGAGTGGTTATTATTTTAGTTAATAAATATAGTCTCCTGAGCTTTCTAGCAGTTCCTCTCTTAGTTCTTTCATCTTTAGGCACACACTCGTATAATCTTTCGATTTAATTGCATACTTAATCCAACCTACAACGACACTTGTTTACCCACTGCCTGTCATATTCACTCTATAGTTATTTTACTCTTACAGATTCCAATCCAAGAAACACATGTAGGAAATTTGTGGGTTTGGGACTTCAGATATACCAGCCACGAGCTTCTGGAATGAAGAAAGGACTTGCTGATAATATTTAGTTTGGTTTTTGAAACTTAATTAAGGATTGAGTTAATAAATTTCCTTTTCCTTTACTGCTGCTATTTTTATTTGTTACTTGAACAGATTATGTCAATAAACTCTTTTTTATTCTAAGTACACTCTTTTGAGGAAGAACATTGTCTGTCTTTTCTTCTTCTTCTTCTTCTTTTTTTTTTTTTTTCGAACAAGATATCATGAGGTATTGAACGCAGTCCCAAGCGAGAAGGGGAACTGCATCTTAGTAAAATAATAAGAGCTACTCGACCCAACAAATTAGGTGCTTGTCTTATTTAATCTATATGGAGATGGAGTTAATAAATTTCATTTTCCTTTATTGGGTTTTCCTTCCAATCAAATACTCAACATTGTGATCACCTCAGGGCATTTGATATCATTTCTCTTGGATAGATCTAATTTCTAAATAAACAAAAGAGTTGGATACAACATAACCTTATAAGTTCATTGTGATGAGATATTACCTACCACAATAAACAATATTATTCATCAAAATTTTGTAGATGTTAGGATCTAGATCAATATATGTACGAATTTGATATGATAATAACATACTTAAAATAAAACAAATGCAATATTTCAAAAAAAAATAAAACAAATGCACACTTACTTATGCGCTTGATGAATCCATAATAATTATTAAAAGTCACTTCATTAAAAATTTATTAGATACAAGAAAGTTGAATTCAACTCTATTAAAACTCAGATATTTCTGATTTGATGAGAAAGAAAGTTAGAAAAGAATAATATTTTTGGTTAATTAAATTACAATGTCGAAAAGTAATATCAATCATAAAATCCATCACTTTCTCCCTTCCCACCCTAGCTCTTCATTTTCCTAATACCAAACCTACAAAAATTCATAATTTATAGACTTATGAGGCTGCTCAAAAAAACAAAGCCCAGAATTCTGTTTGAGAGACCAACTGAAGCCCATTGGTCTGTTGGACTCGGACGACACCCGGCAGAAAAGAGTAGCATTAGCAGGATAAAGGGGGAATGGAAAGAAAGGAGCTCGAGGGGGTGTGGGAAAATGGCGCGAATTTGTTGTCCAGATCCCGCTGTAAGTCGTAACTGGATGGCCCATCAGTCGCCGTTCATCCCTCAGAAAGCCCACGGCGCACGATGCTGCTCAGCTGCACCAGGAAATGGGAACGGATCCAAAACGCCGCAACTTCTCAAGTTGGCAGTAAGCGGCGTCACTGAGCTGCTCAGGCCCTTCTCTTTCAGCGAGGCCAGGTACCCATCTCTCTCTTCTGTTTGGATGGTGAGAAAATGCAGAAAGAAAAAAGTTCCTTTTTTTATTGGGTTAATTACTACTTAATTGTACAAGAGATGAATATCTGGTGATGTCCTCCCAAGAGATTTTTTTTTTTTTTTAAATCTATTATTGACCGTAATTTTAGGAGATTAAATGAAGTCAGCACTGGGGAGAAAGATGAGATTTTGGTTTCCGGGGTTGATGATGCTTTAAAAATCCTCAAGTTTGATTATGAAAATGCTTAGTTTGTTACAGGTGCTTTTTTTTTTTCCTCTTAGATTTGTTCAATCTGTTATTTTATAAATATTCAATTCCTTGCCTTTTTTTTATTGCCCTAGCTTTTCAGTTGATTTTGATATCTGAATTTGATATTTGATCAAAAAAGTGTTGTGAAGTATAGGCTGCACAACTAAACCATAGCGGGGCAGACCTTGTCGTTGGGGGCTGTCTCCTCGAATGGTTTCTCTTTTGTAACTCGGACTGCAAAACAAGGAAAACAGGGAACTCATATTTGACAGCTTTCCAGTTTGATAGAGTGTATATTTTTTGCCCTTTTAAATCTGCCCTTCAGGATTTCAAACTCAACTTATTTTTCACCATGATACCTTATAAACGTTGTGACCACATTTCTTGCCTATCAAATATCAGGCACCTTAGAAATGGTGCATATCAATTCTCTAACATATAGGAAGGAAGCCTTCGTTTTGTTTTGCGAATTAGTTGTTATTTATTTTTAATATGATAGAAACTTTATCCTACTTGCATGTTTGAATGGATTCCATCTGTTTTAACATTTTTTCCTCATTGTAATAGGGGTCTTTACTTCTGCAATTTATGGTGATGATTGTATCTTTGAAGATCCAACCATTAGATTTCGAGTTAGGATGAATAATCATTCATAGAGATACACTATGAATAGCAATTTTATATGTTCTCCTTGAATGATGTTAATAGCAAGCAAGAAATATGCTAGTATTCTTGCTCCATGTCTTTTAGTATCTAAACCCCAAACTTCTTAAACCTATTTGGATTCTCAATTTTTCTTTTTGACAATACTCATTTTGGTTGATGGCAGAGGATCAATATATATGCTAGTATTCTTATATTGCTGTTACTATTTCTGAGATCTTTCTTTCTTTCATTAAATTCTTGGAGTGCAATTTAGTTGCATGCCCTAATACTTCACATTTGCAAGCCTCTCACGCAGTTATATGTTCTGCATACCTTTTCAATGATGGTAACTCATTAACTTGTTGATTTTCAAATGGCTAACTTATATGGTTTTGCTATTCAGGTAAACAGCTTTATTCTCGCAACTTGAAATTGCTTCTTCCTTTCTTTGAATCTCCATCAATTGGATTACAAACAATTGAAAAGGTAGTCTTTCTTTATAAATGACATTTCACATTTATGAAGTAAGATTTGATTAACAATTGCATATTATGATATTTGATTCTTCATAGTCAGTTCCTTGTAAACAAGTTTCCTTTATTTGAGCGGACTTTATTTAGTTAAACCATAATTTTATTGTCAACTGTTAGAAGATCGAGCATTAACTGCTTTTTCACGGTCATTTTAGCCTTCAAGTGATAAGGCTAGAAACATTTTCTCTTCTCATTTGGTGTTTATCTTGGTTAGATTTGACTTACCTACTTTTAAGTGACAAGGAGTGAGCTTGTAGTTGGAAGGCAAAGCTATTTGCTGATCACATGCCCTTTGTGCAGGGTGTCAATTTGGAAACAAATTTTGTGCTGGCAAAATGGAGATTAAGGTGTGTACTTATCGCTGTTTGTGCACTGGTTTTAGATTAATCAAAGCAGCATCTCATTTTGTTGAATAATCCCATGAGAAATAGGGATTGCTTAATATCTAGAATTTTTTACCGGTAAACATGGATATCTTTCATTATTTACAGCTAGTTATCTCTGATTTGTAGAACGTACCTGAAACTTCCATGGAGGCCTCTCATTTCCATTTCCATTGATGGAAGCACATTCTACGAATTGGATGACAAGTTTATGGTGGGAGATACATAACCTTCTGCTGGACCAAAAAGGATTCATTAACCTTAAGTTTTGCTGAAGTATGTACTTGAACTTAACTATATTCTGACTGTGGCCATTCATGCCTATTCGAACAGATTGCTAGGCATACTGAGCGTTGGAACGTTTCTGCACTTGAAGCAGTTGGTCAGATATTCACCCTTAGTTTTCGAAGCCCCAACGATTGAACACATTACTAGCATCCTTTCTGGTCGAAGTCAGGACAGCCAAAGTCGGCTGACGGTGATGGCAGCACATGCCATCGACCTGTTTTGCCTAGCTCTAGCTTTTGCTTTTGTAAAAACCGAACGTTGCGTTTGGGTTACTGTTTGAGAGTACTTTTTTTTACATAGTACCTCATTAAAAAGTATAAATTTATTATAATAAAATTAATTTTAATTAATATTTTAGATAATTTAATAATTATATTAATATATAACTCTCTTTAAAAAATAATTATTAAGTGATTACATTATTTTTTTTTTTGAACAAGTTGTGAAGGGACGGGGCTCCATAAAGAGGGAGGAATGCACCTCAAGCTGGTTGGGTGTCAGTTGATCCAAAAAGACAGGCGCGTGATTATATTATTTTTATAATAGTAAAATACTTAAAAAATTATAACCACGTCACTTCACAATCATTTTTATAACTTTCCGTAGCACAAAATTCTTTTTAAAAGTAAGACCAAACAAGTATACTATTCTACTTTTCAAATAAACACAATAATAGGAGAATTAATTAAAATTTGTGTCATAGATGCGATTTAATTATTAAAAAAAATGAGTTCACCACCCAGATGATGTTATGATACAAACAACATGAAATATCAAAGCAAAATGTTCTTCATTTTCATAAATTACTTTTCACTGCAAAGCTAAGCATGTACTTTCGCTTGACGTAGAAGATTCACCAAGAAACTCCGACCTCAACTGCATCAGCAGCCTGCCGAGATAGTTAAGGCGTTCTCCTTCACGGCCACCACCCCAGAAAAGATCATGTGGTGAAGGATCCACCAGTACAGACCCGGCCGTTGAGAGCAGCAAAGAATTCAAATGAGGATATATTGAGAACTTGCATTTCAATGCCCTGTACATGACATCAATCTTGATGCTATCCCAATCAGATCTCACCTGCATTGCATATTTGCATAAGATATTAGCTTACTCAAGTTCTCACATATATTTCTGACCGGGAGGGGAGGGAAGCAATAGCATATATGAATTTAGCATGAAAACATCATATTCCTCAAGGCCCTACATTAACATGCATGCATTATAGTGGCTTGACCTTGTATAATGAATGATCCATGACAAAAGATGTATGAGGTATGAACTAATCCACTTTTAAGTAAAATTAAAATGAATCTATATCTAATCTAGCACAGAAGACTCAAATCATTTCCACTTTATACATCTGATTTCAATATCCAGAGAAAATTGTATCCATTAATAGCAAGAAAGTATTGGCATTAGATTCTGCTTTATGCTATGCCGGAGGAAGAAACTCTAGCCCTTCAAGAAACAATTAATTTTCTGAAATATCAGAAAATGACAAATCTATGATGTGAATATTTGACCTCTTTAACAACATACTTTGCTGCCTATACTTAGCAAAGTCACAATTAACTTGGCAAACAAAAATAATTAAGAATATACTAGTTTAGTATTGATGGACAACAAAAACAGTTTTCAAGCTTTGCTAAGATATGCTGGAGAAGAATTGTGACACCAACATTAAATTGTACAAAAGAAAATGTACATCAAGCATACCAGAGCAGGTTGCGTATTGACCTGCCCATCCGTGCTGCTTCCTCTGGACTTTTTGCTGATTTTATCTTTTCAATGCAATTCCTTGCTACAGGATCATTCACACCAACAAATTTGTTTCCCTAAATTTACAAGAGACTTGTTGAATCTATTCAACATCAATATGACAGAATTAAACAGAAATAAGGATCTACCTGATAATAATGCTCTACACTTGGCCAAGTGACATAATTACCATTGTCATCTGGCATTTGAATCGGATGTGGAGAAAATTTTGAGAAGGCACAATAAGGATCCCATGTCTTATAGAAGAATGTGATACTTGATTCATAAGGTGTAACTGTGGGATCAATTGCAAAAGTTTCATCCTCTGAAGGGATAATAGGTGTCAGATCTGGTATTGGCTGAAGAAATCCACTAATCAGCATATCAGGTCCAACCTGTAAGTGCCAAAGGAAGCAACACAACAGATTTGGAAGGGAATGTCAAAAATAGGCATGGTTAGGAAACTCACAATCATAAGCAATTTGATTTCAACATTTCAATTCAAATTGTAGCAATATCGTTTTGATGTTTAGTCTATTTAGTTTCAAAGACATAAATTTATCATCCATAATTTTAAAAATGGATAGAAGTATGGCATCTGATGCAATATGAACTTTTCTTCTTTGCTGGAGGAGTAATGTAACTATATTAGCAAATTCGAAACCTTCCGCTTTAAGGTGATAAGATTATAACAGCATTCTCTCATAACAAAAAAAAACAAAAAGGTGATTAACTATTTGAAAACAGACCAAAATTTCCCCTCATTCTCGACCTAATGTCCCAGAAAAGCACTTAAAGCTCTGCAGTATCACAACTGGCCCAACCACAAGGACAAGGAGTTGCAGTCCCACATGGATGATAGAAACATTCAATTCTGGACAAAATTTGGGGGTTTGGTTTCATTCAGCATTTTTTCCACAGAAAGGAGACTACTTGACAAGAAAAATAAGGAGTTTTCTCTTAGTATGTTAAAGTAGAATTTCTAAGACTGCAGTATGAAACATGAGAGAGGTAAGGAGAGGGGTAAGGGAACCACAAGAGAAATTTAGTAAGATTGCTATGTCACAGACAAAGTTCCTTTGAGAGAGGGAACTGTACCCTGTATTCTGTTTTAGTTATGGTAGTTGAAGATGATTGAAAGTTGCTGATAAGATAATCATCAGCTAACATATATAACAAGAATAAGGACCAACCTGCTCATAGCAAACATCAATTAAATCTAAGGCTTGTGACATCTCGACCATTCCAAGTGCACCCAGTGGAGAAGGTGCATACTTTCCACCAATAATTTTTGGAGCAACAAAGGCAAAATCCTGCTCAAGAAGATAACAATATGCGAAAAACAACATATCAACAAAGATGAAAAGAGAACACCATACCACAATCACACATTTCCTAAGCATCACAACATAATTACTAGATTATGTCGGACTTCAAATCACTTATCAGTTATCAGTGTGCCAACTAATTGTAAGGGGAGGGGGGAGATCATTTCAGAATATCATATTTGAGTGAATCAGAAAACCTGGGACACAGTAGCAAACCACATATTTCAGATTAGTTATCTAATCCAAAGAAAGAGTAAAACCTTGAAGTTAAAACAAAAACAATAACCTGAAATACCAATTTGACCATAGGGAAATGGCAGTTAGTGGTGAATCTTTCTAGAGGTCAGCAAATACCTGGAAGTTATAAATTAAAAATATAAAAAGCACTAAATAAAATAGATTGCAATGTGAAGACTGATAGCATGTAAACTATAAGGAACCATGCACTGAGCAGAAATTGCCAAAGAAATACTGGTGCCAAGATGCCAAAAAACCACAAATACAGTTGCAACTACAAAAGGTTCAACTATTTAACATTTGCAAAGAGATTTGGTTGAAAGGAACATTTCGAAAAATACAGATGTGAAGCTGCCACTTAAATCTAGCTCCACTAGAAATTAAAGATGAGAGTCATGTGGAATAAGCCTCTGAACGGTAAACTGAGTTCAGAAAAGAATAATACGTTAAATTTATTATATCTATTCATGAAGAGGTCAAAGAAATCCTGAACTATCATACCAAACTTCTTTTGAAATATATTCATCAGACAGGAGCCAGTGGATGGAAGAATAACAGAATAACAATAACCTTGTGTATTACACCAGATGAAATGGCAGATGCAGCTAGAGTCCCTCGACACTCCCATAAGATAGATAGGTAGCCCTGATCATGAAAATATTTCATAAATTCTCTGGGATTTAAGATGTCAAACTCCACTACTTCAGCTCCTTTAGATGCAAGCAATTTCTGGAAACTCCTCCTAGCCCCTCTTTGTGTTGCAACTATAGTAGACACTCAGACATGTCCCAAAGATTTGCTTCCTCTGGAAGATCAAGAATCTGTGTCATTACAATCCGAATAGGTATATGCCCACCTCCAGGCCTTGCAGTTAATTGCGGATCTAGGTGAAAAGAAAAAATAGAAAATTAATTAAAAATTTCTAGAGCATAATTATCACTATATCAACCAAAAAAAGAATTACATAGAAAATAGAGATTATATTAAAGATAAAAGAGAAATTATATATGAATATCTAATTTCAGCACCTAAAGCTAAGAGAAGTTAAACTATAGCACTAGATATAGACGTTGAAAACTATACTCATAACAAATATGAATAATTAAGTTTGGAGAGCTGTCTATATCTATAGATTGTTATGCATGCAATTGCAGTAGGAGTATAAACAAAGCTACAAAAGTAGGAATAACATCACAATGAGCATCCTAAGCTACTAGACATTCTTAATTGCTATGCTCAACTTTAAGAGAAAGCAAGTAATTTGGCAAACAACAGTCCCCACTCACTGAATGTCAAACAAGGATGTGCACTAGCTTGGGGAGAATTGGAGTCTCCTTCAGGGACCGCTCAAGTCAGGCTTGAATTAACCTAGAGGACAGTCACCATCATGCTATTGTCCTCTTCAACCTGGGGCAAAACCCAATGAAAACAACCTAAGCAGAAAATCCTTACTCAACTATTAAAAGCAAAGAGATGAATGATCAAGATTTTGTGATTGTGATGGATAAGACTTATATGTAAGTGGATCCTTACTTTTATATATATATATATATTAGTGTAGGGCAGATCTATATGAATAAAACTTTCTATCCAAGGGTTGATTTTTGAAAGCAACTCTATTTACTGATATATATTTAATGATGTTAAAATTTCTTGTAGATAACAAAGTGGTCTAGCCTATTGTATCAACGTGAAAAATGCATGACCTATATGAATAAAACTTTCTATCCAACAATTGATGATTGAAAATATGAATCAAAAGATAAGTTTTCAGCCATGCCCTCCAACCTACAAAACACTTTTCCTATATACATATATATAAATTTGGACAACTTTGGCTGTCCGCTAACACTGCTCTTCCACTTCCTGAATTCCCTCTCTTGCCTCCCCATTTGATATCCCTTTCCACTGCTTCATATTCTCCCGCTCTCTGCTTCTTCCCCAAGACAAATATATATATAAATTCTCTTCCATTTTCCCAAACAAATCTCCATTGGGATTGTGCCAAGTTGATCACTCGTTTTCTCTCTCTAGTTTTTTGTTTTCTCAAAACCCCAATAGAAAAGAACCAGAAGATGTCCTATTTTGATTTCATGGAAAAGGTGGAAAGTACCGTCCGCATTCCGAAGCAAAATTTTATAGGGCTAAAGTCTAGCCTGGATGTCGCGCTGGTGGATGATATTGATGAAGCTATTGATTGTTGAAGAAATAGGGGGTTAGAAAATAGATCATTAGATTATTGGCTTCAAGGCGTGCTGCAAATGTTACTTTCCTTTAGGCTAATTTTGTCCCCACCAAATTTGATATGTAAAAGGGATAACTCGAAATGCCATAGGATACAATGAAGCACCTTGTTAATCTAACCTTTGCACTAACAAGATCAACCACTGAACCATCTTTTGGAAAGCGACAAAACAATAGTTTTTGTATAGGGATTTCTCGAGCAATCGCAATATAAAAAGGGGCTATTTTATTTAGATATTTCTAGGTTCAAAAAGATTCCACCAAAGAAGAAGAGATAATTTCATATTTATAGGGTAAGATGTATGCTGGAATAGACACCTCTTTTCAAGATATCTATTGGGAACAAACACTTCTTTTCAATTTTTATCCGTTGGAAACTCTTTCAAAAGTCATTTGGTTTGATTAGAATTTCAACTCACATGTTTTCTTGCCTTTCAAAGTTATTCACTCTCTTCAGAAACTTATCTGAATTTTATCTCTTATTTTGGCGTAAATGGTTCGAACCAAATAAATGTGATTCGAATCAAAATCGTAAATTTTCGGATTCTGGTTTTACGTAAATGATTCGAATCGTATAATTATGATTCGAACCAAAGTTACACTTTCTCAAATACATTCTGTGCAATTGCTTCGAACCAACTTTTTATGGTTCGAACCCAAATCCTGAAAATATTTTGAAAATTCTTCAACATTCCCCCACCATTTTCAAAATAGAATAGCCCACCAATTGTTTTGGAAATCTTATGCATACATGAAGGTATCTTACGATTTGAACCTTTCACTTAGTGAACATGTGTTGGCTAATTAATCAGAATTACATGGTCGACTAATGCTTTGAACCAATGATTCTAAGTGATTAATTGGGCACATGTCACACACAAGATTTCAAGCTTTCCAAAAAAGGAATTCAGCATCCACCGACACAAAAACTGACCATGTGTCCTGTATCCTCTTCATGAGTGCTGTTAGAGTCAAGTCCCTAACTCCTAGAAGCGGCACCACTTCCACTCATATAGGTAAATCCCATTAAAAGTGCCACCACATTAAGCACTTCAACAGAAATCTGTTATAGGACCTATTAAGAGTAAAACTCATCCTCCTTTTTGTTTCATGTGGTTACCAAGTACTCTTCCACTTGGGATGGTATTATTGATAATTGAGTACTTGCAGTCACATTCATATGATGTACTTTACTCATTGAACTTAAGACTTGAAGTTTTTATCAAGCGTTAAGTCGAGGTTCCATCATGTGTGACTTTTTCAATGGACTTGAGACCCATCCCTCTCTTTGTCTTGTGAATTTTTCTTTTGATAATCCTTTTAATCAAGGATTCATGAAGTTAATTCACACAAGACCTTGCAAAGATTATAGTGATCACCTCATTTAAGAATGTGTTTATAAGCACTTGATGACATCCTATTATTTTTAGTCATCCTATTATTTTTAGTCATCATACACATTCATATAAGGATGTCTTAGATTAATATGAACTCTTGAAAAGTGTAGACATCAATAAGAACAAGTACTATCACTTTAAACAGTTCCATATAAAATTGTAATACCATGAACAAGTGGAATTCTTGCTTCTTCCACTTTCAAATTTAATTTATTTGCTTTTCATGTGTCAAGGACTTTTAGTCCTCTCACTCTTGGGATTGGTCCCACCATTTTAAATGACATCAATATTCCTCATGAGAGACATATCGGGATAAATTCTGATTTATCAAAAATGGTTCAATTCATATAAATATGTTCAAACCAAGTTCCCGATACTTTTTGAGTTTTCTGCGTAATTGGTTTGAATCAGTTTTAAGTGATTTGAACCAAATTCTGGAACAACTCAGATCATTAGATTTATTTTCCACAACAAAGAGCTATTCACTCTTACTATTTATATGATTCTTTCTTTATCTTTTGGACCATTTTTCAGGCTTCCAAAAATCAATCAAGTGCACAAGGTTGCACTAGTTTCTACAAATTATTAAGAGATAACATTTAAACAAGGATTCAAAATCCTTCATGAGTTATCAAAACTGAGAGCCTTTTTACTTGGCCTTTTTTCTCTTAGTTTATACTAAGGCCATCAGTTGGATCTCCAAATGGGTTTGCCAAATCCCACTTCAATATTTCTTTCTTTAACATGGCTAAATAACCATCATGAGACTTGACTCTCACTTGTTTCAATTTTCATATAGTGGTATATAATCTTACAAACATAAATAAGAGGCATCAAAAGTAACAAGTAGACATATGCTTTAAGCAACCTTTCATTAATGAAACATAATTAGATTCATTAACCTCTTATATTTCCACAAGCCTCATATTAAAAACAGTAAGCATGTTTAACACATGTACAAAACTCAATGATTTTAACTAAAACTGTCATATACATAAACATGCTTATAGCATAATCCAAGTAAAGGAAGTCTCATTGACTTTAATAAGCCTTAAGCAAACCTTAATAAGATAAGGTCTAGAAGTAAGATATAAAGCTTCATAGGTATTCACCAAAGAACAGTAAATAATTATTACTAAATGAAAAGAAAAACAGAACTTTATTTTTATCACATTAGTAATCTCAAAATCAAGGCACAATCATGATCTTAAAACATGATCATATTCAAATCCATAAATATCTTCCTTCTCATAGCCAAGAACCATGCTATCAAGTTTGAGATTTATTTAACCTCCAAATGGGATTTAAAGACCCATTTTATTTCTCTTGCTTCACTGTGCCAAAGGACATTTAATTATGAATCTTTGCACAGTCATTTGCATCTTTGATAACTTTTTTGAAGCCATTCTCCAGGAGATGTTTTCTCCTCATATTTAATTAAATAGATACAAGAGATAAGCATGGATGAACAGCTTGTGAAATAATATCACTATATGCAATGTTTCATTCAAAGAGATTTGATAGATAATGATATGAAACCATCACTCAAACTTGAAGAATTAATTTCTAAAAGTAACTCATGTATTTAGATCATGAGCATTGTTTTTTTCCTTTACAAACCCACTCAAAATTTGTTTGCAAAACAAAATCATATGAAAAATTCATGGCAATCAAGAGCATAAACTTATTCTACGTACCTATTCCTCCTGTATTGAGTTTCAATCTGTTTGCACTTTGTTTCCCTTTTGCGTTGATATCATGCATCATCATCACCTTATAATTCAAAAACTTTATTTGCATCCTATGGTTGATTCATCCACCGTCACTCATTGACAATTTGATTACACGATTGCTATAATTAATTCAATAAACCACCACTTTTGTAAATGGGTTAATCACACCAGAAATCCCTTTTCCTTTTGTCACTATCACACGCCAAAACTCCCTAGCTTCACATGCGTTTTGTAACGCAAGTTTTTTCTCAATTATCCAGTAAGCCATGATTTCAAAAAACTAGAAAATTAGCCTAAAGATTGTTGAAGAAATAGGGGATTAGAAAATAGATCATTAGATCATTGGCTTCAAGGCGTGCTGCAAATGCCACTTTCCTTTAGGCTAATTTCGCCCCCACCAAATTTGGTATGCAAAAGTGGTAACTCAAAATGCCCATAGGATACAATGAAACGCCTTGTTAATCTAGCCTTTGCACTAGCAAGATCAACCACTGAACTATCCTTTGGAAAACGACAAAATAATAGTTTTTGTATAGGGATTTCTCGAGCAATCGCAATACAAAAAAGGTTGTTTTATTTAGATATTTCTGGGTTCAAAAAGACTCCACCAAAGAAGAAGAGATAACTTCATATTTATAGGGTAAGATGTATGTTGGAATAGACACTTCTTTTCAAGATCACTACAAGAAAATGTACTTTTACTAACGGCAGTTTACACCCACGGACCACTTCCCATCAGTATATAACCAATCTATGCTATTGGAAATGTACTACCGTGACAATAGACCCCATCTATACTAACATACACTATTTACAAGAAAAAAACTCCGTCCGTATATACCCTAATTGCATTTTCATTGCCGCTTAAATTTCCCTCCACCCATTTTCACTTCAATTCACTCAAACTTAAAAAAAATTTCTCATATCCTCTTCCTTCCAAAAGTATCCATTCTACTCTCCTGAAATCTCCCATTCTACTCTCAGACCAAATTTGTGCAAGTTCCATCTTCAAATTTCTTTCGAATTGAGGATCTTGATCCCTGTACCAAACCCTAACCATTTTGGGTAATAACCTCCATACCAAACAGAGCATTAGCCCTACGCTCGTCTCCAACATGGACCAGAATCCTGACGCCATCACTCCAGGCATCGACAACCAAGGTAAACCATTCATTTGCTTAGGATTTTATAGATCTATTGTTACGTGAAAGAAATTAGTGTTTGGGGAAGTTATCGAAAGTTGGCACCTGTTTTAGTTTCTTTTTTAGCCACTTATTCGACCCTTTGCTTCTTCTCTTTTCTTATTTTGATGTTTTTCCTGTTGAATTAATGGATTTTCCCCTCTATTAGCTATGTCTTTAGGTATAGGCGTATAGCTTCCTTTTTTCGATTTTTGTTTTTAATTTTAAAGCATTTCTTGGTCTCTAACTTCTCTTTTATGATTTTCAAGATCGCCCTTTTGTTCTTAGGAAGCGTAACCTATGGAGACAGTTGAGGAGGAACAAGAGTACAACTGCAGGGAGGTGTTGCTGCCTTCTTTGATCCTTATTGTACCCGAACCGGAGTTGGAGAGGGAGACGGAAGAAAGGAGGAGAGGCCGAGACATTTGATTGGGCCCTTATTCACTTCTGCAGGATTGCTGATACCCTCCATCTTGTTAATGCTGTTTCCAGTATGTATATTTACTCATCTCAATGGATTTTGCTTTAGTTCGTTAAGCTTGAAATTCATCGGCTTTGAGATTGCTTTTCATTCCTTAATTTCTTCTAGTTTTGGGTTTTTTAGGTGTTAAAAATGAGGTGGTTCATGAAGCTAGCCAGGCGCTTATGGAGAAGCTAGCTGTTGAGGCGTATCAGGTTGCAATGGTTAGTGGGTTTTCTTTCATCCTTTTAATGCTTAAAAATGTGAACTTGAAAGGTGAAATGTTTGAATTTGAGTGCAATTTTTATAAGAATTCCCTATATCAAATCTTTCTAATGGGCTATTATATCTGTCCGTTTGATTTATTAATAAATTGGGGAGGGGG